GAAGTTATCAAGGAATTCTGAGTTAATTTATACAGTATGTCACTTGAGGAAGTTGGACCCAGATTTGGAGTCAAGAGTCTTTTCAAATTCTAGCTGCATGTCACTCTTGTGGCATGACTTTGGTAAACCATGCTGTGTCTCATCCTGTTGTCTGCTAAAATAAGAGACCCCTATGACATGGGTTCTGAGGAGTCTCAGCATCATTGCCTCAGCCCCAGGGTGAGCAGAGCACCGTCAGGACAGGGAAAGGGGGGGCACTCTACCAACTCAAAGATAGAACCTCATCTACATCAGTAATCTGGTAACAGGCCAGGCATAGTGGCACACGAGCACCTTTAATCCCAGCACTCAGGTGGCAGAAATAGATGGATCCCTGAGTTTGAGGTCAGCCTGGACCATATAGCTAGTTCCAGGACAGGCTAAGTCAACATAGAGAGACCCTGTCTCAGAAAAACCAAATCACCATCATTGACACCACCACCACCATCACCATCTGATGGCAGATGGGAAGTCAATGGCACAATGACTAGAATTCGGGCATTTGGATCTAGTTATCGAAGCTCACAACTGGCTTAGTACCTAGTTTCCTGAAGAGAAGAGCTAGGTCCCTGACATAGCAGAAAGAACCCTGAGCCAGGCTAAGGTCTGTTCATAGTGAAAAGACTGTTATACAGGGAGATACAAGGTTGGAATTCTGATGTTCTTTGCTGTGGGAACCATAGTGTTATGGCCAAGCTATGGGCTGAAAGACAGGATAACTGGAATTCAGAATTAATCAACAGAAACATATCAGGGCAGTCTGACAAACAATGGACTCCGATTCAAGTCCTGAGTCTGACTCTAGGACAAGTCACTTGATTTCTCTCAGCCTCCGTTTCCTCGCTTACCAAAACATATAGCATGCTTAACTCCACATGGCATACAGTAAGCTCCCCACAGTGGAGGCTTTAGCAGTCATCTGACAAGCCCACGTGAAAACTTGTATCCAAACTTGAGGCTTCCTGAGTTCACAAAACTACCTACTGGGGAAGCTAGAGCTAGAATCCTCAGGGGTCCTGAATTACTCTTCCAGCTAGCTTTGGCTGCCATACGGACAATTTGTTAGTCACCATTCACTGTAATAACTGGCAGATGACTCTGAGAAAAGATTTCATCTGCACAGAGACAGATGTGCAAGCGTTCTTTTGTATGAACGTTGTATACCGAGGTTCCTGAAACCCTGGCCAACTGCTCAGTCCCAGGGTAGTAAACTGGGAACTCTGAGAGTAAAGAAGCCTGAATCCAGCACCGGGCCAGCCTTGACTAGGGTGTGGGGCTCGCCTGGCTCCTGGTGCTTTTGTGAGATCATCTGGGGATTTCCCATCTCTTGGTAGGTGTGACCCTAGCTGTTCTCCACCCTTAGCCTACCTGTCCTTGCCTGTTGAAATCAATCTACCTGAAAAAGTAGATCTCCATAAACTCCCTTACTCTGGAATGCTGGATTACTGGGAGGGCCTGGAGTGAAGCCTGCGGTAGATGACCCAGGGACACACAGCTCATGCCTGCAGACCCCCCTTTCCAGAAGCAGAGAGCTTTAGACTGTGAAGCAGGGGTCACATAGGACAGGCTTGCTTATAAGTGATCATAGCCAGCGTGGCTGGGGCTCTGCTCTGAGTGATTTTCATGTGCCACCCCATTTAAAGTCCTGAGGGCTCTATGAAGTACTGATGACTATCATTACCACTTTCCCCTGAGCGGCACAAGCTACCACTATGTCTAGTGAGTGGTGAAGTCACGGAACAAATGAACCCAATCCATCCATTCCCTTATTAACTGTGTTCTGGATGGGACTGGTATCAGGCACAGGTGTACATAGTGGACAGAAACAAAGATGGCTGCCCTTACCTGCTTAGGTTGGGGATGTGAGGGGGAGGGCACAGCAGAGAACTGGAAACATTACCCACAAGTGAGCAATGCATTTGTTAGAAGGTGTTAAATGTTATGAAGAAAGAAAGACAGAGCAAGGCAGGGAGTTGGGAGTATTGGGGATTGAGATGTGTGTTCTAATCCTAAGTAGGCTGGGGCTGGGGTGTAGCTCAGTGGTGCAGTGCTCACTTGGTATGAAGCCCTGTATGTAATCCCCAGCACTGAAAAACAAGACCCAAAACAAAAAAATGTAAGAGAAGCTAGGGAGATGACTCATTTGGTAAAGTGTTTTCCACACAAGCATAAGGACCTGTGTTCAATCCCAAGCACCCACATTACAAAGCTAAAGGTGACAGTGTGTCCCTGTCATTTCAACACTGAGGATGTGGAGATAGGAGGACCCTGAGGCCTGTTGGCTAGCAAGTCTTGCTGAATCAACCAGCTCCACATTCAGTAAGTCAAAAATAAAGCAGAGAGCTACTGAGAGGAAGACATCTGACATCCATTTCTGGCCTCCATGCGCATGGACACAAAAGAAACCCACACACAGGCACAACAGGCTGCTCAGAAAATAGATGTAATTGCACATAATCCTAGCACCCTGGAAGCTGAGGATCCCAATTTACAGGCAGCCTGTGATAGAGCAGTGAGCCCAAGGTCTGTCTAGGAATATAGAGCCCACTTTAGAAAAGAAAACAAAAGGCTGATAGTGACTGTGGTGGTTCTCAGGGAGAAAGTAAGATCTGAGAGAGACCTGAAGCGGGGCCAGGCCTGGGGGGAGCACATGCCTGCAATTCTAACACTGGGGCGGCTCTCACAAGAGCACTGCAAGTTCAGCGCATGCTACATAGAGTGCACATTGAGACCCTATCTTGGAAGAAAAGGGGGGAGAAAGAGTAAGAGGGGAGCGGAGAATCTGAAGGTGGCGTTGTGGGGAAGCAATCACAGGCAAAGGGACATAGGCACATACTATCATTTCAGATGTCAGATTAGGATGAGAGGGAATTAAAGATGGGTGCAAGGGAGGCCCCTAGAGCAGCAGGCCTGAAGAAATTGTTCCTTCAGTTGAGAAACGAAGAATGGGGGTGGGGTCTAAAAATAAGGAAGGGATTACCAGTCCAGCTCAGGAGCTCAGTGTTCAGAAAACTTAAAAGGACTGAAGGGGAATGGAGGAAGGCCCCAAACTGTATAAACCCCGGCAGCCCAAGGTCTAAGGCAAAAAGCATGAGGCCAGAGCACATGTAGGCAAAATAGAAACAAACTCACACCAATGCTAGAGTTGCTGGGCCTGAGACCTGAACTCTGAGAGTTGAACTCAGCACTGAGATCTGAACTGAGCACCGAGATCTGAACTCAACACCCTGAGAACTAGCTCAGGAATAGACACATCTCTAGGTCCTCCTCATCCTTGCCTCCTTATCTTCCTTCTTTTTTAACTCCTCTGAAACTTAACCTCAAGGATCAACACATATTGGTCCCAGAAAAAAAGACCCTAGGCAACTAGGAAAACAGCTCAATTGGTAAATGCAGTTGCTATGCAAGCAGAAGGACCTGAGTTCAGATCTCTGGCACCCAAGTCCAAGTCAGGCATGACTGCACGTGCTTATTAGTTATCCAGCACTGGAGAGCAGAGGCAGGTGGATCTTGGGGGGCCCCCAGCTTGCCAGCCTAGTGGAACCTACAAACTTCCAGTTCAGTGAGAGACTCCATCTCCAGGCAGTAAAGCAAAAAGTGTTAGAGAGCACCAATGTCCTCCTATGATCTATGTGTGCATGTACACAGACAGGCTCATAGCCCAACATACACCAGTCCTTGGCCAAGCCATTTGAAGGTCACTGGGCAGCTTGGATTTGGAATAGAGGCTCAGTTTTGTCTGATAGACAAGCAGAGCAGGGCTGGGTATCATACACACACACACACACACACACACACACACACACACACACACCTGTCATCAAAACCAGTCTGAGGCCAAATGTACTGTTGCATGCTCATTATCTCAGCACTCTTAGACAGAGGCAGGAGAATCCTGAGTTCAAGGTGGCCAGCCTGGGCTATGAGAGAATTAGAAGTTCAAGATCTTCCTACACAGCACACCCCCCCCAAAAAAAAATTAAAACTAAAGCCAGGGTTGGTGGTGCATGCCTTTGATCCCAGCTCTTGGAAGGTGGATGCAGAAGGATTATCAGTTTAAGGTCGTCTTCCTCTACTGCATAACAAGTTTGAGGTTAGACTGGGCTAAGAACTTGTCTCAACAACAAAAAGAAGCAATCAGTGTCCAACAACCTCCAAGGTGAAGCGGTGGTCCCTATGGGGATGTCTCTGTAAAATTAGTCTGGGCTATGGAGGTGTTCGGGGGTCCTGTGGAAGGGCTTTATAGGAAATGCTGTATCAGGAGAGGCCACGTGTCTTCCCACCAAGCTGCAGGCCTCCACTTCCCATCTTCTCCAGGGATCTTGGAAGCACTTTGCTGCTGTTGCTGCGATGATCAGCAGCAAGTTCACTGAGAAAGATTTCTTTCTGCTCCCAGCTCAGCATCCCATTTGGACGAAACTGATCGAGAATTCTAGGGTAAGGAGGAAGAGAAGCGATGGGAAAGAGCAAAATGTATTTGTCTTCCTCCACTTGTAATGGTGGTACGCGCAGGTACCCTCAGGGAGACTGCTGCAGTGGCGGCGGGGGGGGGGCAACGGGCAGGGTCTACACTTGATGGGGACTCGGGGACAGCTGCCGCAGTGCACACACAGAGAGAGCAGGCGCTGTGCGCAGAAGCGCAGAAGCGGGTGCCGCC